CCGCTGACTCGTCGAGTCCCTATACTCAGAACTCCCAATCCACGACTCAACTCGCCGAGTCGCCCCAAGACTCGCCGAGTCCAACAAACTCTGAGTCCTTTCTCACTCAACTCACTGAGTCGTCCCTCGACTCACCGATTCACAGCTCAACCAAAAAGGTTAGGACTCCACGACCAGACTCGCCGAGTCCAAGAACAGACTCGCCGAGTCCAAGGCAACATTCAACATACTCGCCGAGTTGTTCTTCCAACTCGTCGAGTTCCTGCCCATCTTCATCCAACTCGCCGAGTTCACCCATGTGACTCGCCGAGTACCTCTAGTTCTTAATCCATACAGTGGCTTTCCAAACCATGCAGGGGCTCCAAACAATAGATCCACTCCGCTACAACCCATCCATCACGTAAAGTGACAAACTTTACGTGAATCCAAAGAGATCTAAGCATAAAACACTCTTGGGCTAAGGTTTGGGACAAAAGAACTTCACCTACATCTCTTGAACATACACTTTATGGCTGCTTGGGTCATTACAAGCCTAGATCTGAGGTAGCAACCTCAGATCTCACACCAAACTCGAGATGGACCTCATTTATGCCCCAAAAACCCCACAATTGATAGATCTAAATGCACAAAAGCTCAAGAACAGATCTATTACCTCCAATGCAAGCTCCCACTGAAGTAGACCTCGAATCTATACCACTCCCTTGCTGAAATCCCTTAGTCTTCAAGTTCCCTTTTCAAGATTTCCTTTCCCAAAGCTCCAATTTCACTATCAATAGAGTTCCACTCGATTTCTAGGGTTTTCAGGCTCTCAAGGGTGGTAAGGAGGCTGAAGAAGGGATGGTATGTTCTTTATATAGGGCACAACCCCCGGGATTAGGGTTTTCTCCATACAACACCAACTCACCGAGTCCACCCATGTGACTCGCCGAGTTGGTCACTTAACACGCGACCCGTAACGCGACTCGACTCGCCGAGTCTATCCGTCGACTCGCCGAGTCAAACTTCTTATTTACACTTTTAGCCCTTCAACTACACTTCTGAATTTCCGGGATGTTACATATTTGGTTGGTGGCTGAGGCTTTGCTGTTATTGCATAAGCCAACAGGTCGGGGGCATACCAACCCAATGGTTGATTGGGACCGAGGGTACTCTATCTCGAGGATGAAAGGACCCGTTGTATATTGGCATTCCAACCGGATGGTTCATTGGTGCTAGTGTATTCCAACCCGATGGTTGATTGGGCATGAGGTATTCCAACCTAATGGTTTATTTGACCCAACATGATGTTACGGTATACGTTATATGTTTATGTGTTGGTACTTTGGGGGAACTCACTAAGCGTTAGATTACAGTTTTGGGTTATGTTTCAGGTACTTCGGATGACCGCAGGAAGGCGAAGACGTAACCGTACATATCCTCTTGTTTATGGCTTATGATTTTGGGAGACTCTGATGTTTGGAAAAATGTTTAGAAAACTATGATTTGTAAACAATTTATGAATTGGGTTGATTTTAAAAGTTTAAATTTCTTGTGATTTTTTTATGGGTGTTACAATATTAATTAAAAATTGAGACATTCAAAAGTCTAATAGAATTTGAGGGAAGCCTTTCAAAATACAAACATTGAATTATATTTGTTAGAACATAGTATTAGAGATGTTCCACCATTGCTTTCTTTTATAGAGTCATAGGTTTTGAGCTTTTTTTTGCTAAGTGACTAGTTGTTTCCATCCCACATTGGTAAGATAATAAATGTTTGGGGATTTGGGGATACTCAGACTTATAAGGCTTATTATTTTTACACTCCACTCTCTAGACACTCCAGGCTACAAGCTATTTTGACTTTTGACTTTCTTTTTCATTGGAATGTTTGACTAGTTTTTATTGGTTTTTTAACTGTTTCCAACATTTTTGTTCAAGAAAATTATCCACTATTTTCCATATAATTTTTTATTTTCCAAAGAATGAAAACATAAAAAACCATAACTAATTAAATTTACATTGTCTATAAGTAATACAAACTTAATACAGTAAACTTAATACAAAATCAGTAAACTTAATAAAAGCTACCGGAAATCAAAACAAGATCGTCGTAAAATAGTCGTCGGAGTCGTTGTTCGTCGAAAAATGGTAAGTTGTCTCTTTCGAACTTCGTATCTTCATTTGTATCTTCATTTCTATGTTGTTCGTCGGAGTTGTATCTTCATTTATATGTTGTTCGTCGGAGTTATTGTTCGCCGGAGGCTGCCATCCGATGGCGGTGTCGGTGGTAAAATTACCCGGCAACAGTGTGATACCAAAAGAAAAAAACCCAAATCGGGTGTTGTAAGTCTGTGGCCACCAAAAACCCGTCTACGAATCTGGTACAATGAGAATGTGGGTGCATAGCTCCGACGGAGGCGGGTTGGCGGTTGCAGTGCTCCGGCGGAAAAAATTGATTTGAGTTCCCTTGCTTGGCTTGTTGGCGGCAACACAACATAGAGAGAGACAGAAACTTTAGGTGATAACGTGATATAGAAATTGATTTAAGGGAAAGTAGGGTTATATATATATATATATATATATATATATATATATATTTATATATATATATATATTATATATTATATATATATATATATATATAGGGGAGTGTTCATGCGAAAATGCAAATAATTTGCGAAAACGTGAAAGCAAGAAAAAACTATAAGATTGTGGCACCTCAACCTTATATTTTGGACAATAATCCATCCAAACTTTAAACTACATGATGATAATCGATTATGCATCAGAAATTGTTTCATATTAGCAAAGCATGATTTTTGACATTTTTATTATAAAAACATGAATTTAAAAGTGGTTAAGGACGTGAAAAAAAAATAGTTGATAAAACCGTCTTTAAATCTATATTATCATAACACAATCCAATGTAAACTTATTATCTTAAATTTATTGCTAATAAATTTAATTTTTATAATACTTGTGTTTGATTTTTATAAGATAAAATCCGTTTTCGCGTTTTCGCAAGATATTTAAGTTTTCGCATGAACCTACTTTTATATATATATATATATATATATATATATATATATATCTATATATATATATATATATATATATATATAACAAATGGGGTTGTTATTGGATTAAGCTTATTTTGGACTAAGATTTTGGGTTTTTAAAATATTCAGAATTTTACTATTGGGCTTGAAAAAATATTATTATCTAATCAGTTTTTTTTAAAAAAAAAATAGGTTATTAATAATATATATTTTTAAATAAAATTTAGGTTATTAATTAATATTTTTATTTTGTTGTTTTATTTTTGCCGGAAAAAAATGGAGAATATTTCGAAATTTTCAACAGACCAAGTATATCTCTAATCTTATTATTTACTTATGTGTAATTAATTGATGTATTTTATTCACTTTTTTAACATGAGTTTTTTTTCAATTGTTAGGTCTTTAGATCTCGTGGGGATTTAATGATGTGGGTGCAAAATGTGGCACGTTCACAAGGTTACGTTATCGTCTAGTAAAAACGATCAAAGACAATAACTAAGGACTTCATTTCTAAAATAGTACTTGGTTGTGATCGTGGTGGTATAGCCAGTAATAAAGATGCGCAAACAAAAAAAATTAATTGTCCATTCAAATTGATAGGAAAGTATTTGAAGGCACACGATGGTTGGAAGTTAAGGGTCATACGTGACGAACACAATCACGAACCATCAATGTACATGGAGGGTCATCCTTTTGCAATGCGTTTGTCGAATAAAGAAGCTCGTTTGCTGCAAGATTTGACAGAGTTGGGTGTGAAACCGCGAAATATTTTGCCAACACTAAAAGCGCAAAATCAAAATAATGTGTCTTCATTGATAACTATATATAATTTTGTCCAGAAGTTAGGGAGATCTCGGCGAGAAGGTAGAACCCCGATGCAGAATGTTATGCACATTTTGCAAACTAAAGGGTACAACTTACAGTATCGTGTAAACACGATTACTAACGAGTTAGAAGATCTATTTTTTATTCATCCAACATCATTAAAGACATGGAAAGCATTTCCATATGTGGTGTTGATGGATGCTACATATAAACAAACAAGTATAATCTTCCTTTTCTAGAAATTGTTGGTGTCACTTCTACAAACAAGACGTTTTTCCATAGCCTTTGCATTCATGCATAATGAAAAAACGAGCAACTATATATGGGCATTGACTTGTTTGAAATTGACGATTAACGATTCTTTTTGTCCTCGTGTTATCGTCACTGATAGAGTTTTGGCATTGATGAAAGCATGCGAAGATGTTTTTCCACAAAGTAATCATTTACTTTGTAGGTGGCATATATTCAACGATATAACAAAGCATTGCAGACAACGAATCAAACCACAAAAGACTTGGAATTCTTTTCATCTAAAGTGGACAAAGTTAGTCGAATCTCCAACACTAAATGCATATATGCAAAATTATGCAGACCTTCAAACATTATTGTTTGAACATGAAGGTATTATTCTTATATTTGTTGAAGACTTAATTTGTTTAACAATTATTATTAATTCATTCAAACTAATTTGTTTTTTTTCCACCTTTTAGATGTTTTTGATTATCTTTATACTATTTGGTTGGGGAAGTATGCTGAAAGATTTGTATCGTTGTGGACCAACAAACATGTCAATTTTGGAAATTCAACAACAAACGGAGTCGAGAGCCAACACGCCAAGCTGAAAAAACACCTGGAATCTGCGAAATGTGATTTGGACAAATTCATACGTGTTATTGAAAAAGTTGTACAATCACAAGAAACCGCTATCAAAGAAACTTTCACACGCTGCATAATAACTTATATGCCAAGGTTTAAGGATCGGATATTCGAAGTACTGCAAAAACGTGTTTCAGTGCATGTTATGGATAAAATCTTGGAAGAGCTTCATCGGTCAAAAAGATTTGTACCAACTCCTGAGAATTGTGGATGTCAATTGCGGACATGTTTTGGATTACCATGTGCTCACGAAGTTGTGATGTATGTCGGTACAGGTATGTTTAATCTATTGAATTAAATTGACATTTTTATACTTATAACCACTTTATGATATTTTATCTGTTTGACTATAGGTTCACCTATTCCATTAGATTCGGTTGATGCTTTTTGGAGAAAGCTTGATTTGACGCCTTCTATATCTGTGGAATATGGTGATCTTAATGTTGATCATCGTATGCAAAGGTTTAAAGAAATATACAACTATCAACCAGATCATATCAAATACAATTATTTAAGGAGAATGGAGGAGATAACAGATCCATGAACAAATTTGATCAATGAACCTTCGGTTAAGAAAAATAACTGTAGACGCCCAAAAGTAAAGCGTGTCCAACATCAAAGTCAAGCTCCTCACAGATACAGTTGTTCAGACTTAAATCATGTAACGCCCGTGTTTCTGGGCCAGGCATTAATGATGATGTGATAGTCTAGGTTGACCTTTGTAACCCATTTTGAAATAATAGAAGTGTATTATTTGAGTATTATGTGTTATGTGCTTAATTGTGTGTCTTAATTTAATTAAGAATAATAATAAGCGTCAAAATGAAATATTAGATAAAACCTATATCTATGGATAATGTTGTAGTAGTTGGAACGAGGTTTCCGAATATATAAAGAATGCCGAAATCCGAGTTATAACGAAGAAGTTATGACCTGTCGAAGTTTCGCGACAGAACCGGCACGACGCTGAATGACGTAAAATACGAATTTAAGATAGAGCGATATCTAGCCTTAGTAATCTAAACGAAAGTCGTAGAATACGTTAAACCGAGAGCGTGCATAAAAAGAACGCCCAAATCTGACTGCGTATGAGGAAGTTATGATTTTTTGAAGTTTCGGCTTAGCAGTGTACAGCCCGAAGTTCGAATATGAGATCGAGTGATTCTTAACCGAAACAATCTAAACGAGAGTCGAAGATCTCGTCGATAGTAGTCCAACGATAAAAAGACAGACGAAAACGGAGTTCAGATGAAGGAGTTATGAATTTCGAACGGAGTTTTCCTGTCCCGGCCTACTAAAAATAATATATAAGTAATATATTTATAATATATTAAAAATAAAGTCAAAATTAGCCAACGGAGTCTAAACTAGAGTTGTAGAGCATAATCTCACCTACGCGTCGATATAAAGAACGTCGAAAACGGAGTTCTTATGCGAAAGTTATGAATTTCTGAAGTTCGGGGCGCGAAACCCCAAAACTGTCAGATACCACGACGTGGCAAGCAGTGCCACGACGTGGCAAGTCTTCTGACGCCTCCGGGAGTCCCCCAGACGCAACTTGCGATGACGCATGCAGTGACGAACAAGCCCACGACGTGAAAAAGGTGCCACGACGTGGCAAGGGCTAATTTTGCCCTATAAATAGATTTGAAGGGCCAGCCGATTATGGTTGCTCCATCCCTTCTCTCCCACTCCCGACATACCCTCTATAGCCATCCCGAAGTACCCCCGAAGCCCCGGTTTCATCCCGAGACCCGAAGCGAGTCCCGAAGCCCGAAGATCCCGAGAAGAAAAGAGTTTCCGAGCCGAAGCTCTGCCTGCGAGAAGCCCGGTGTGTGAAGATCTTCCAGATCTACCGAAGAATACTACTTCTACAAGCCGCAGTGCTGTCTGATCATCTTCTGATCAAGTGAGTGTGTAGTTACTTTCTTCTAACGCATAATTATGAAGTATTTTATACGAAATACGTGTTATGTGTATATTTTGTTGTTATGTGTGTGAATGTATATTCACTTTCTTCTATCTCATAGATATGATTTATTCTCTATGAAATACGTGTTATGTGTGTGTGCCTCATCTGATGTTTGGAATATGTATTGAATGAGAATGCTATACAAGTTTTAAACTATGTATAAAAATATATATTTTTATCTACTAAATATGTTGGGTAGAACATGGGTAGATAGTTGATGTGTGATAAACAGATGAGAGGCCTCGATGTTGTTGTTGTTGATCTAGTTATTCAGCGGAGTATGGATAACGACCACAGACTCTTTCTAGACAGTCCTGTGGAACGCTAGCAGGTTCATAACCTGTAGGTGTTGTGAACGATGTGTTCACCGGTGTACTCTATCCCCCTCATGGTTGCCTTTAGGACATCTACTGTTGAGGAAACCCCTTTGCAGTAATGTCCGTCCCGATGAAATTCCTAGATTAGGTCCCTTGAGATAGATGTTGTTTTAGGGACGTAAAGTGAGGATAACGGGAATGGGTAATCGGGTTATTGTTGGATTGTTGGTGAAATTAAATATAATTATTTATTGTGGGTTGAAAACCCTATATGCTCACCAGGCTCCCAAGCCTGACCCACTCAGTTTATTTGTATTACAGGTAGTGGCGCGAGGGCATAAGATGGATGAATCATCAAGTTATTTTGTTTATTAGACCAGTTGTTATATGTAACTGTTGTTTGGTCTATCTTTTGTTGTTTATGCTTTTGGTCTGTTTATCGGAATATGACATCCCGAATATTGTTATATAATGAAAACGCATCTCTTGATGAAATGCTTTGATAAACTTTATTTTATCATATTTTGTTTTGGGAACAAATTCCGCAACTCTTTTAATCAGAGGATTTCTCTGATTTTATTTAAAAGCATAAATTAAACCGGTCTTTTCTGGCCGTGATTTTGGGAATGTCACAAATCAGGAGCCACCACGGTATAGTTCATCATTCATGGACTTGAATGATGATCCAGCCAGGCATAGTTCATTCTTCATGGGTTCGCATGAGGAACAATAGGCCAATATTCATACAACATAGACTTAAACGAGGACCAATAGGCCAATGTTCATACAACATAGACTTAAACGAGGAACCAACAGGGCAATGTTCATACCAGGCAGACTTGAACGAGGATCGGATAGGCCAGTGTGCATACAAGATTGACTTGAACGATGAACCACCATTGGGACATAATTCATTGTTGGATGAAATTCCATCTATATTTCATCCGTACATCACACATATACAAAATGTATTGGGTGATGGAAATTGTGGTTTCCGATCAGTAGCCGTTTGTCTTGGATATGGTGAAGATCAGTGGCTTTACATCCGTCAACAATTGTTAGATGAGTTATTGAGTTCATATGACGACTATGCAAGAGTTTTCGTTGGATGCGATGAAGTAGTTACTTCATTGTCTTTCTTTACGAAGACTAAGTCAGCACCAACAAAACATTGGATGCTTATGCCTGAGACAGGCATCTTGATAGCCAACAAGTTTGGTGTGATCGTTTAATTTTTGACCACTGAAGGGCCCGTAACTTTTTTTCCTCTTTAGAGAGGTCCTAGAGAGTTTCAAAATCATCGGGTCCTTACATTTGCACTTGTGTACACCAATCATTATATGATGGTACAATTGGAAGGAGAATACCCAATGCCTCCTATTGCGTCATTGTGGATCCGCCACAAAGCCCAGTCAGCAACCGAATGACAAACTATGTATAAGTCGCGGCTAGAATTTTATAAGCATCTGAAACCTACTGAAAGATCTTTTATGACTATAAATGATTAGTTGTTGCTTATTTTGACTCAAATTTTTGCTATGTAATATTTGAAATTTAAAAGAAAAAGATTGGTGAGGATTTGTTTAGAATATATTTTTCTTGAAATTTATATCGTTGTTGTCTTATTTATCTTATAAAAATATAAGGTTGAAAATTAATAATAATATATGATTAAATAATAATGTTAACAATAATAATGTAATTTTCAAAATAAATAGTATGAATAAATGGTCCAATTAAAATAAAAATAGTTGTATTAACATATGTAAATCACAATAATAAGTTAAAGACTAAAAATTTTTACCCTAAAAAAATATGACGTGGATAGAAAAAAAGTCATATTTATTACTATTTATTTATACACTATTATTTAAATAATAATAAGATTAATAGAAATTATTAATTGTAAGAAATAATTAATAATTGAAAAATAAAGTTAATAAAATGATTATATTATAATAAGTTAATAAATAGTAAAAATTAGTCAAATGATTAAGTAAATAATAACCTATAATAACTTATAGACTAGATTAAAGTGTGACTAGAGTGGAGTGTGTATATCAACACTCGACTTATAATTATGACTTTTGGAAACTATGTTTGATGACTTATAGAAATTTTTATCATAATTTTTAGGATGTTACATATTCTCTCTTGAGAATTAAATTTTATATTAGGGGTTTAGATTACTTTTTGTTTTGTATCCATTAACTCTCAATGATCGTATCTAGAGTCGCTATTAGATCTCATCATAATTAACATTAATCTCTTTTTAATTGTTCAAGATTAATAGCTCATCATGATTAACATTAATCTCTTTTTAATAGTTCAAGATTATCAATTTAACGATTCTTGGTAATGATGATCTTAATCATCTTATTTCAGATTTTCTACATATTGCCGATGTTTAACTTTTAAGGGTTTTAATTTTACATTTCAAGGTATTATAAATTTTAGTTAAAATTACACGAATGGTCCCTATGGTTTCTACTTCTTGGTCCTTGACCCATATAAAATAACTTTTATATGATTTTTAATTTATTTTATATTTTTTTAAACTAACTTTAATTTAAAAGAAAAAAAAAGAGAAAATAAGTAAACCATAACTTTAATGAGATCCGATTTTGAGGAATTGCTTTTTTCACCTATGTACATGTTCAAAAACAAACAATTGAGCCAAGTACAAAGTCCTAGGCTGGGGACAAACAACACAATAAATTTAAACCACTAGGATAATCCCCATCAAAAAAATGCAAAAACTTAAGTAGTAGTGACATTTTACTAAACACATAATCCATTTTTGTAACTTTGTCTTCATAAAATAAACAAGACAAAAAATAAGAAGACACTTATGTTATTAAGGATAAATATATTCCAAACAAAACAAAATTATAAAACATAAATGATTTTTATTTTTTAATCCATCTAAATACAAACAATCTAAATCCAAATCATATTCAAAATCCAATTAAAACAATTTATGGATCCAAACATCTAGAATTCTTATAATTAGTTTAAAGGAGGGATTGACGGGTTTTGCCGCGTGTTTACTTTTCCGCAAGACTAATTCTTTTTTTTTTTTTTGAATCAACCAATGTGCAAATTTTGGTCGTTGGCGTTGACTTATATTTGTGGGCCATATTAAAATATATTAAAAGCCCAGCAATCTTTGAATAAAGCATCAATTATTCAGTGCAATAGCTATTCGTTTCTTTTCTGATTCTGTTTTACTCAAACAGATTTCGTCTCCCATCTTTCGTCTACCTTCCTTCATCGTCGACACTCGCCATTTACAGGCCGGCTCACCTCCGCCCGCTCTGTGCTTTTCACCTGTCATCCTTCACTGTCGCTTTGCGGTTGGCTCTTACTCTATTCTCTCGCTTCATGTCTGGTTATCATTCTGTATGCAGGTAACTGTGTCGGCACATTTTTACAAGTTAGTTTTACATGTCGTTACACTATTTTATCTTATCAATCATAAAATTAGATCATAATCATTTGTTTGTTCATTAACAGCTGATTGCGGTTTCAATTATTTGAATTACTTTTGTTGATTTTTTCTACATAGGGTTAACTCCTCTCTATTTAGTATTTGAAAATGATAAATTGGGTGGTAAATATGCTACTGATCTGTTGAAGCCAGATTGTAAGAACTTTTAGGCGTTATATTCTATGAATAAAATTAGGATTTTGCTAGTGGAGAGTCTAGATCTATGTCGATTAATGTATACACCCTTTGTTTGCAAGGGATAAAGTCACTGGAGCCCATGTACTCTTGACTTTTGGTTGAAAATGCCGTTCATGTATTTTTGTTAGTATTGTAGGGTATTAAACTATGAAAATCAGTGTAAAAAATGTCCCTATTTAAAATGTAAAGGGGTTAACCGGTTACCGTTGTTTGTGTCCACGTGACAATGAGATGGCATGATGTGGCCTTTGACCATGAAAAGTCACTTTATTATTATTATTATTATTATTATTATTATTATTATTATTATTATTATTATTTATCTTCCACCTCACACCACCACTATCTCTCATCACCTTCTTCCTAACCTACTCTCCACCATCCACCACCGCCGCCCTTCAATATGTAAACCCTTTTTCTCTTTGTGTTCCATTGTTACAAAGATGCAGATTCTAGAAACAAAAGTGACAATGCAAAGCGTTGATGCTTGTTTATTTCCCATTGTGGTGATAATAAGCTCAACTATAAGTATGCAGAACATGATACTAATGTTCTTTCTAAAAATAAAAATAAAGACACGGGAAAGTGAATTAGAAGGATTTTCTTCATGTGACTGAGTTTACAAAAAATTGTCTTCTCCCTTATTAGTATGTATGAAAGAAAGGGAACATTAAAGATCATTAGGTACTTCAATATGCATATTTTTATCTATAGATTTCCTCTATTTCCAAGGTATATATGGTCATGTCGCCAGCCACCCATTTCCACCATGTGAGAGATGCCTGCATCTCTCTTTGACATTACATCGAACACCTAGTGGGTGATCACTAAAGTTACCAAAAGACTAGATAAACTGTTAGAAGTTTTAGTATAAATGTTATATTTTTACTAACTTTAGACATATATAAATATATACATATGTTGTATATATAATATACTCTTAGTGAGTTTGTGTTCTTCTCCATGAGAAATTTGAAACGATATATTGTATATCCAAAACGGAGTATATGTGAATGAGATATCGATACTCAAATATGGGTATTCGAGAATAAAAGTTAGCAAGTGAGGTGGGTGTGAGAATTAGTCCCACATTGGTAGAAAGAGCATACTCATGTAAGTTTATAGGCTTGAATCTATGATAGACTTACAAGCTTGTATATATGGTTTTACTCCAACTCATACCCGTGCTACGGCGGTATGAAAACTCGGTTCGTGCAACCCTCGTTTTTGCTAAACTTGACAGTTTTGGTCCTTGGTTTAAATTTTGTAACTGATGCATTTATTGGCACAATTAATTAATAACAAACTAGTTTATTGTTGTTACATAACCCAGTAGAACAAACACCCAAATTGTTTCTCTTAAGAAAAAGAGTAAGGTGAATCAAAATACAGGAAACAAGTTGGGTATTGCTCAAAATACAGGAAACAAGTTGGGTATTGCTCACCGACCAACATCGTTGTTTAAGGTTTAGGCATCATTGTGTACATGAGAACATAAAGAGTTCCTGTCACATACCAAATTTCCGGATGTTTCCAGGCCCATCCAGAGAACGTTACAACAATAAAGAATGCTCAAGAAAAATCTAGTACGTACCAGAAAATTTTGGAATATTATAGAATGTTGCGGAAAATAGAGGCACATTCTAGAATACCCTAGAAGACATTGGAAGGGTCTAGCATATCCTAGAAAATAGTAGAATGTTTTAGAATATAATGCAACTCTCCATCCAATCCTATCGTAGGAGTTTGACGTGGAATACCCATGAAAATGGTAGAATGTGAAGGCACCATTAACGTGGTAAATGTGCCCATGGACAACTATATCATGGTATTAGGAATAGAATTCCTAGATGGAGTATGCCATTCGAAAATGACAATACCATGTATATCACTAAGGCAGCGTTTGGCACATGGACCGAAGTGGACTGGACTGAACAGAACTAGACTGAACAGAACAGGACACAATTATTTGTTTAGCGTTTGGTAAAACTTGGACATAATAGAATGACACGTCAAAATTACCACATTATCCTTATATCACATATCACAAAACAATAAACGTTGTTTTGAAACTAATAAAATCTGTAATAAATCGTTTAGATCGTAGAAGCATATTTGGGTATGTTTATTTTCAAATTCAATTCGAGTGTTATAAATCAAAATGAAACCTCTATTCCAACAAAAAGAATTATACACTTTTTGATTCAACAACAAATTTGTATGATTATAAATAATGGGTCGGCAACATAAAAATACCAAAGGGTCTACTGTCAAATATATAACACAGTGAGCTTCGTAAAAAAATCAAACGATGGGCTGTTAAAAAACCTCAAGCACAATTCCCAAGTTGAAAACATGTTAAAGACTCCGGAACAAATCATAGAAACTACAACCATGGAGGATTCACTAACAAATCGCACATCAACAGGAAGCAGGTGACTGTAAAAACATATTCACCCTTTCCTTTCTTCTAAATCGATTATTGTGTAAAACGTAATCGCCCTCTGTTACAACCTAAATCGATTTTTAAAATTTCATCTTCCGTTAGATATGATTTCAGTCAACTGTTTGATTTGTTGAATGATAAAGCGCATGAAAGCACACGACCAAATGCTTTGAGGGTTTCTGGAAAGATATTGATGCACTTAGCAGCTTTATCGTATCAGGTGAACTCATGGATCGGGTATGCCCTGAGAAGATACTGGAATTCGAAGACAGAAAGGATGAAAATGTAGAATTCTCATGAAGTACGACCAAAATAGACGTATCGAGAGAGGCAATAGATAAAATAATTGTTGCATAATGATTAGAGGATAGTAGAGAAGACGAGGGTATTTTAGTCTCGGTAAAGATGGCTTTATTTAGTCCAACTCGGTTCCACCCTTTTGGGTGGGACTAAATTTACAAATTTTAGTCCCATTGACCACATTTTTGTCCCATTGACTTTTTGTTCCATCAACGCCAAACACCATTTTAAATGGATTTGTTCCGTCCAGTTCAGTTCTATTCCGTGTGCCAAACGCTACCTAAAGGTTCAATCATTCATATTGTATCTTTGGAAAGAAGTAGAAAAAGGTCCCAAACGTTATCAACCATGTAACTAGACAAAGGTCCCAAGAAGGTTGGGAAGATAAAGAAGTACAATACAATAACTATTAAGAAGGAATTACATAAAAACGATTCGTGGTCATAACGATTAATTCAAGAGGCATGAAGTACCAAACCATGTAGTTCAAGGGATCGATACATGTCAGTGCATGACAAAATCAGGATCCAACTTGAGAATCTACCCAAACGTTATCAACCATGTAACTAGACAAAGGTCCCAAGAAGGTTGGGAAGATAAAGAAGTACAATACAATAACTATTAAGAAGGAATTACATAAAAACGATTCGTGGTCATAACGATTAATTCAAGAGGCATGAAGTACCAAACCATGTAGTTCAAGGGATCGATACATGTCAGTGCATGACAAAATCAGGATCCAACTTGAGAATCTACCCAATATTCCATGATGCTGATATTGGAAGGTTCTAGAACATAACAGAATTCCATGGAAGAGTATGGAACATTCCAGAACATGTTTGAAGAACCAAGAAAGTCCTAGACCTGTCTAGGACATCAAAGAATGGTCTAGAATAATATGGAAGCCATGTAAATAGGAGAGAGGTTATTGGTACTATCCATCAAGAGTTGCCTTGTAAAATAAAGACTTTGAAGTAATATACCTACTTGTTTCCCTTGTATTTAGCCTTAGTTGCTTGTTTTCTAGTTCGTTAATATATCATAAGGAAATAAATTAGCCTAACTTAGCCACAAGTACGCTAAGCGCCACACGATGTTAACTTGTAGAACGAGTCAACCCATGACATCTTGTAGGAAATGGTGGTGTATGCTTTAGTTAGGTTGGGTATAATAGGTCTAGCGTATTTGGGGTTTTCCCTTTTAAAAAATCCATATGGAATAGGTAATTTCTAATAGTAAAAAAAGAAAAAGAAAAAAGCCACATGGAATAGGTAATTTCTAATAGTTAGTTGAAAAATAAAAGTCATTTGGATTAGTTGTAATCGGTGAAACCGGATTCAAAATGGAGTCATTCCTCTTTTTATGACGTAAAATAATAATTTAGGGACATTGAATACCATAAAATATATAAATGACCTATTAAATCAAAACCGAAGAGTTGGTTGGACTATAGTGATATTATCCTATTTGCAAACTGATAATGGATTTCTTTTTAAAATTTAAGGATTAATATCACAAAACACCTTATAATCTGGTTTTTTTTCATGTTAAACATTAACTTCAGTTTTTTTTTTCTTAAAAAAGACCTTTCATTTTTCAATTTATTCCAAATAGTCATCCGGTTTTAGACAAAAGTTTTTCTGAGAAATCCTCCAATTATTTTTCTGAAAACCCCTCAAATTTTTAGTGCTTTTCTGTAAAAAGAAATCCTATGCTTTTTTTCCAAAGAAAATTCTCAAATGTGAAGTTTTTTTTCCGAAAAAAAGGGAAAAATCAAAGGGTTTTTTTAGGAAAAAAAGAAAGTTAAGGGTTTTTTTGGAAAAATATTGTCTAAAACCTGTAAATCTATTAAAAGGGCCAACTTGGAAAAAATTAAAAGAAAAACGCAAAGACTTTTTTAGGAAATTAAAATAGATTGAGGTTTAATCCAGAAAAAAGTTAAATGATAGTCTTTTATGATATTAACAGTAAATTTAACACGGCAATGTGGGACTAGCCCACTTGGTAGAGGCTTTGCCTCTTAGATTGGAGGTTTCGAGTTTTAATCCATGCATTGACAAATTCGTGATACTAACTTCTAACCACTAACCCTTCCGTTAAAAAAAAAAAAGTAAATTTAACACCTATAATGTTGGTCAAAGCCTATGTCACTTGTCACTTGAGTCACCTTTGTAGCACTACTTGTTTTAGTTGTGCTGTCAGTTGTCTTACATGAACCAGGGATAATATCTACTTTCAGATGCAATTGCTTTTAGCCACTTTCTCATCTATGTGCTTGGATTCATCCATTTAATAGTATTTCCATGTGGGCATTGTAATTAAAAGTGGGGTTTTGCTAACTTGAAGTCATGTTCTAGGGGGGTACAAAGCAAATTAAGTCATTAGATCGTTTTTGGAAAGATGTATCTCAAAATTGAAGGTGATATCTATATACTTGTGTATAAAGTGTGTTTACCCCAAAGTTTCATGTAGTACATACTTTGTAATCAAAAGCTATGAAACGATGTGACTTGTTAGATTCAAATTCATATCATTTGGATGGATATATTCAAATTGGAAAAGATTGTTCTTGCAAAATACCGGGGTCCTACAAACAACCATTGCAAGAAATTTTTTGTTTCTTGCGTTTGGATATTTTACTTATTTGTTCATGTCTAGTGAAATTTGGAAATTGCCAATACGTTTTTGCAATTCCTTTCCTGGGATGTAATAGTGGATCTTGTAGTTGTTTCTAGAATGGTATTTGGTGTTGATTTTTTCTAGGTTTGTTTAACTTAACTTTAGATGAAAACTGTTGTTTTGTTATTTAAAAAAATTATTTTTAAGACTATAAGGTATTATTGTTGAGGTTATATTCTTTGATGAGACTTATGTTGCGTAAGGTATTAATCATTTGGATATTTTGTAGGGACGATGTGTATGAGATCTTGTGATTGAGACACAAGACGTAAGCGATCAAACCAACAATCATAGCGTATTGAGATACAGAAATCGTGGGAAGGGTGAAGGACCATCACCCATAACTCATAATGGTTGTTCTCTCTGAACTTTCAGAACGATCTTCATCCTCTTCATCAACTCATGGTCATATATATGACGTATTTTTAAGTTTTAGAGGTGTTGACACACGTCATAGTTTCACTAATCGCCTTTATAATGCCCTCATGGATGCCAATATCGCTACCTTTTTGGATGATGAAGAGATTGAAACAGGGGAAGATCTGAAACCAGAATTGGAGAGTGCGATTAAAGCATCTAGGGCTTCTATTATCGTATTGTCGAAGAATTATGCTACTTCAACATGGTGTCTTGATGAATTGGTGCTAATCCTTCAGCAACGTATGACATCCAACTATATTGTAATCCCCATCTTTTATCATGTGGAGCCCACCCATGTTAGGAAGCAACAAAATAGCTTCGGAGATGCAATGGCTAAGCATAGAGACAAGATGCATGCAGAGACAAATTCACGTAAAAAAAGTCAATGGGCTCAAAAGATAGAGCTTTGGAATAATGCACTTAGAGAAGTTGCTAATTTAAAAGGGAAGGATGCAAATGGCAGGTAACTACATTCTTACCCATATTTCCACACTCCTTTAATATTGTTTAAGTAGCACATGAAAATTCAACATAAACTTCTCCTTATACATTTCAACACGTCATATTCATCAAATACGCATATTTTTTTATACATTTTAATTTTGTAAGAATGGTAGGGCTGTTAGATTTCTTTTTGAAAAAATATATAGGGTCATGGCCCTACCTTTCTACCATTGACTTCAAGTAGTTGGGGGAGCAGAGTTCATTTAAAATTACTCTATTATTACTCGGGGCTAAATAAACATATTCAAGTCATCTTCAATAGAAACACATTAGTTTGTTTATTTTATCTAATCAAACACTTTTCAAATTTTTTTTTTTATTGTAAGTGCTTATGTGATACAAATTATATTGTTTTATGTGTTAACTAAACACAAACTAATTACTATACATCAATCATACCGAATACTATCTAATCATAAGTTTATTTTTCAAAATTAATAAAACTAAATTAATATTAATTATCTTATTTATTATATATATTTTTAATGAGGGTTACTAAAATAATAGTAATACTAAAAGCAATTGTTTATAATAATAATAGAATTGGTCATGAAGCTTATATAAACAGAGTCATTTATGCTAGATGTTGTTTGTCTATTTTCAACCTTAAAATTTTTATGACGATGATAAAATTTATATTAATGAGATTTAAAATATATAATATAATTTTTATCAATAAAGTTCCTTTTTGTTGATTTATCAAAATTATTAAATTGAATTTGATAAAAGTGTTCATAAAATTTATAATAAAAATTAGGTTAAACAAATTAAGAAAAACCCTTCTTCAAAAATTGCCATATAGTTGATAAGTAACATTTTTTCACTTTATTTTAACAAAAATAATAATTAAATTGGTTTTTATTATATTTCAAAAGAAATAAAAATATTAAATAAGTATTTTCTAGTTAAAAAGTTAACTTTTATAGACTAAAAACATATTTATATGACGTTTCTTTGAAAATATCAAAATAAATAAATAAATAATAATAATAATAATATTACTATTATTATTATTATTATTATTATATATTTTATGGGTATATTTTTAATAGTATTTTTTTTTATTTTTTGCATTAATTTAAGGATACAAAGGAGATTCTTTAATGTTATGGTTTATTAAAATTTTTATATAAACATTTAACTCCATATATTTTAGATAAAAGTTAAATATAAAAATATAATAAAGATATAAATAAGATTGTTTATATTAAGGATACAAAGTAAATATTTAAATATGTAATTTAATATAAAGGATACAAAGGTAACATACGATTAATTTAAAGGGGTAAACCTAAACAATGATACGGGTCTGAAGTGAAACTATATGGAATCCATTAAAGTTGTCAAAATCGAGATCCTACATATGATCGTTTTTTGGTTTAAAAAGATTGGGATCGGGATCCTAAGATCCCACAAAATAAAACATAATTTTAACTTATAATTTTAAAACATGAAAAATATCTCAAAATTTAGTTTCGTTCAAAAACTATAAAAACTTCAAAACATTAATCACAACTCACAATACAAAATGATAAATGTTAACTGGTAAAGGGTAAAAAGCTGGGTAAAAGACATAAAGTGCAAAATTCATTTTTTTTCAAATATGTAATTTAAATAAAAAATTTCAAGGGAAAGTAATATTGGATCGGATCCTGATTCAACAATCCTACCTACGATGCTACGATCCTAACAGCGATCATACCCTAAATACAATCAGACTCGTTTTTCATACTACGGTCAAGATCACAATTTTTGCAAATAGTATTCTAACAACCACATTTTTGCAAACTTATTGGAAAGTGACACTATTCTTACAAAAATAAATAAATAAATAAATAAATTAAACTATCCTGCTAATTTTAATACATGTCCAATGCATCTATTATTTTATCAAAATTAGTTCATGTAGATAGATCATTTTAATGATTTTATATGAATATGATTTTAATTAAGAAACCATAATTTTGAACAGTTGTAATGCATGTACTATTTTTATATTATTCTACCTTCAAACTATATCATCTTTTATTATGATATATTAATGCTTTTACTTGTAAGTATTAAAGATTAAGTTATAACTATTCACTGACATTGTGTTCATATTCATGCAAAACCATGTTGAGATTTAAGTTCGATGGTTCTGTGGAAACACAATGAGCTTTGGTGCTCTGTTAATGAAAACTTGTATTACATTGGTGGCTCTGGTCTTATTATAGATGATAACTGTGACTTTGTATGTTCAATGCTTACATGCATGGTTAGGAGTGCAAATACGATAATAGTTATGACATGAAAAACTTAATTATATAATAGCTTAATATGATATAATTTTGATTTGGTTCATTTGAAAATTAAATCTACAGTATGACATGGTAGTTATTTGGGTTATGTTTTGATTTTACTAAAATCAAATTGCAGGTTTGAGGTAGAGTTTATTGATGAAATTGTTAAGGACATTTTCCGTAGATTACGTATATCTTCAAGGTTTCCACTACCACAACTTATTGGGATGGAGGATTCCATTAACTTCATCACTTCATGGTTAAAAGATGTATCCTCATGTACAACAGATATACTCACTATCTTGGGTATGGGTGGGATCGGGAAGACATCATTATCCAAATATATCTATGCATTACATTCTCATGAATTTGACACAAGCAGCTTCATTGAAGACATTAGTAGGAAATGTGATGAAAAATATAATGGGGTGCTTGATGTACAAAAACAACTATGTGATGACATTTCAAAACCAAGTTCTATTCAAGTTCTTGATGATTCTATATACACCTCAATGATAGAGAATGTAGTGGCCCGTAAAAAGGTGTTTCTAGTTCTTGATGATATTGGTAGTCTCGATCAGTTAGATGCGTTACTTGGAAGTAAAGGTTTTCATCCTGGAACCAAAATCATAATAACAACAAAGGATGCATGGTTGACAAAAAGTTGTTCACTATTCAAAACGAACTGTAAACCTAAGTATGCACAGTACAAGCTTGAAGGCTTATCTAAGACCGAGTCACAAAAACTATTGTGTTATCATGCATTTATGTGCAATGATCCTGAGGCAGGTTATGAAGAGGTGTCAGAAAAACTTGTGAAGTATTGTGAAGGACATCCAATGGCTCTTAAAGTTTTGGGTAGGTCTCTACATAATCGAGATGTGACTTATTGGGAGGGGTACATAGATACACTAAAGAAAGAAAATGATTCACCTATAAATAATGTCTTAAAAACGAGCTTTGACTCTTTGTCATCAAAAAATGAAAAGGACTTGTTTAAGCATATTGCTTGTATTTTTGTTGGAATGGATAGAAATTATACCATAACAATATTAGAGGCATGTGATATGGAAACAACAACTGGGATCACTAATCTCATCGACAAATGCCTTCTTAGTATCGGATGGAATAATGAATTGATGATGCATGAATTGGTTCAAGAGATGGGAAGATTTGTGGTACGTGAGGAATCAATTTACAAGCCTTGGAAACGAAGTCGAATATGGGGCTATGAGTCATTTAACGTGTTGAAACAAAAAAAGCTAAGATGTCATGTATACTTGTTTAAAGCATTTTGTATTTCTATATACATGTCTAACATTTTGAAACTATTTTTGCATCCCCTGTTTTGTTAGGGTACGGAAAATGTTCTAGGCCTCACCCTTGACATGGGAATGCTTGAGAAAGAGAAGTTACATGGACCAATCGAGTTGAAAACAGATGCATTGAGTAAGATGGATAGATTAATGCTTTTACAACTCAATTATGTGCAAATAACCGGCTCTTACAAGAACTTTCCAGAAGAATTAAGATGGTTGTGTATGCATGGGTTCCCTTTGAAGTCTCTACCTTCAGACTTACCAATGGAGAATGTGGTTGCACTTGACATGTCATATAGCAATATTGAATCATTTGGGATTTGTTATCGCTATCCAGAACGACTTCATAAGAGGCCAAAGGTAACTTATCTTCATGTATTACTCTTCTAGTTTGAGTTGATAAAATTCACTACTATTCTAACTTATCTCAATTTCAGCAATTAACTGGATCGTGCTCAAAAGATAAAAGTTTGCTTGGATCGTTGAAGATTCTTAATTTAAGTTTCTGTGAAGAGCTTCAGAGTCTTCTTGGTTTTGACCACATCCCTAAACTTGAGAGATTAATACTTAAAGGTTGTATTGGCATGCTTGATGTTTGTGAATCAATTGAGCAATGTCTTGAACTTGTTGTCGTTGATCTAAGCTACTGCAACAAGCTAGGAAAACTTCCAAGGATCATAGGCATGTTGAAGAAGGTTGAAACACTTTTGCTAGAGGGTTGTAATCTTGGTGAATCTAGAATAGAAGATGTAGGTATGGATTCACCAGAAATGAGCAAGGCTAACAACATTGGCACAAACACAATAACCTCTTCCTCCACTGTTTTGGAGGCTATACCAAGTTATTCAAAGTTATTTGCGATTTCTTTACCGAGATATTTAGTAAGCCTGTTACTTAAGAATAATAATTTGTCCATTGAATCTTTTCCATTGGACTTCAGTTGCCTAGCCATGTTAAAGGAATTAAATCTAGATGAAAATCCTATTGTTTCCCTACCTAGTTGTGTGAGAAGCCTTCCTAGGCTTCAGACACTTGGTATGAAAAATTGTAATATGCTTACGTCAGTCGAGCATCCTCCACATACACTCACACATTTGAACCTTGATTCTCATTCTAATAATCCTTTGCTACAAAAAGTTGTATTTGATCGACAAATGTCCCCACTCCAGTTCTTTCTCGGACATATGATCTTGGCACTTTCATCGTTTGAATTTGAAGGTATGGTCAAAATCCAACCAATGGCAGCTATTGAGGAAAAGGTATTACATTGTTTGGGCTGGACTAACCTAGACTTCCTTAATGGAAGCCACACGACAACTTCTGTTGAATATAGAGAATCAGAGGAATCTGAAATACAGGTTTGGTCTAGTTAGCTATATGTCCTTGTGAATATGTGTGTATATATAATTAATGAAGGTGGTTGTATTTGGCAGATGTATTATGAGTTTGGAATATTCAGCACAAGTTATTGGGATAAAGAGATGCCGAATTGGATAACAAATAAAAGCATTGGGCCATCAATATCATTTACAGTCCCATCATCTCCAAAGAAGCTCACAGGATTAAATTGCTGCTATATGCTGACAAAATTAGGAGAAGGTATTGTCGTTGATTTACCGGTGATCAAAATTAATAATTTTACAAAGAACCTCACCTGGATATACAAAAATTACATAGGCAGTGTATTCGATACCAATGGAGAGTGTGTGTCATTGTTAAGTCATTGGATGTTTGGGATGAATGAGATGGAATATGGTGACCACATTACTATTACTATCCTGAGGGAGAAACCAGATGTTTTTTCTTATAAATTTAGAATTGAGTGTGGGGTGAGTTTTGTGTATGATGATGAAGACATAGATAAAGAAGAAGAAGATGCGTTGAGTTATTACAAGTCATGGAATCACATCATTAGTGGAGATCTTTCTGGATTTCAGTTAACAACCGGAGAATACATCCTAAGCAAAGATCGAATGCTGCGGTCTTCCATGGATATAGATTATCTGTGTGGAGATGGTGCCCAATTTAAAGGTAGATATCATTCTTATGCATTGCATTTTATCTAGAGTTGATAGATACTAAAATGATAAAGTTTTGATGGTAAATAATTCATACTTTGGTTTTCTGCAATCAATTTCAAATCTTTAATCTATTTCTTTTCATTAGATGAGAAAGTGGATTTCATAGCTCTCTCTCAAAGGAAGTCTGGTCGTGTACCTGAGGATGGGCCCTAAGGTACTTTTATATCCCAAAAACCCTTTTCCTGTCGCATAATATAAGAACAAACAAATCAGCTGTCTTTTAGGTTTGTTTTTATGTTTTCTAATGACATTGAAGGTTCTTTTTTTAGTGTTTTTTTTTTTTCTCAAAAAGTTGGATCTTCCAAGTGTTCATGTTCAAAAGTTATCCAATACTCGGTTGGATGCATTCTGTTTATACATATTTTATATTTACCCCCCCCCCCCCCCACCACCAAAAAACATAGGCCATTGCACTACGTAGCTGATCATAAGACACATTTCTTTGCATTAATAAACTGATCTTATTCTCAAAATTTACCAATAGATATTTAAATCATTAGAAGGAAAAAACAAGTTACATATGCACTTCCTGATAAGTTTTTTCCAATATGAACTTATGTGTCTAAAAAAGCCGCTATCTACCTCTTGTATGTTCGATGTCTACACAAGTTCCTTTTAAGCTTCCATCCGTCTATATGCTTGAGATGCTTTAAATTTTGACTAAAACTTTACAAGATACAATCATACAATGAAAAAAGGGATCTAAGAGCTAATCAATATAATGCGAAAGCTGAATGTTCCAATTTATGTTGGTGTAGTAATTTACATTCTTGAAGGAAAAAAATGAACAAGAACATGTCTTTTAATATATCCAACGTATTATAAAAAGAATCACCTACAGGGTAAAATCCTTGGGAGCATGATAATGAGGATATGCAACTTTATTTATTTAAACCATATTCATTTTGACATAAAAACTTCACATTCACTTGTACTGCAAAAAGAACGTATGAAGAGGTTGCAAGGGGGTAAAATTACTTGCTCTACATGTTTATTGCTTTGCATAGTGTTAATTTGATAAAAATGCTTCCTACCTTTTACTATCGATGAGTTGCATGTCTTTTCTGTTTTTTATTCAGTACACCAACAACAATCACAACTTAGCATGTGTGTTCTATCTCCTACAGTTCCCAGTCCTCTTGTAGGCAAATGAATTAATCTAACAATTAACTTAAGGCTAAATGCAAGAAACAGCAACGTACTTTCAATTATCTGTGGATTATTTTTTTGCATCTTACTTCCATTTCTTTCTATTGCAACATTATACTTTCAATTTTAATCATAGTAAGGCATTGTACTTAGAAAAAATTAACGTGATTATAGCATTGTACTTTTATTCTTCTTAATAGGGTAGATTTTTCAAATTATAGCAGTGGAATTTGAAAAATGTTCTAATATGAAGAAATGAAAGTTGATTTATAATTTGGATGGCATTGATGTAGATTAAATCTACCAATTATACCAATTTTTTCAAGGTACCCTCATTATCATTGTTTTGGTGCATACCCTCATTACCATACCCTTGAGAAGTTTTCTCCACTTAGTGTGCAGACAACAACATGGAAACCAGTGTTGCTACACTTGAAAGTTGAAACATACACAAGGTCCTAGTTTTATTAAAGAACAAAGTATATGTACAAACCCAACAATTATTTAGAATTTATTATATGAACTCTAGATGTGTATTTCTTTTCCAGGATCATTAAGTTTCTGAACTAATTTTGGCCCTTAATATGCAAATATGTGTGTGTGTGTGTGTTTATTCGGCTGTTGATTTGTTTTTTAGTGTTTACAAAGGTACAATAGGGTTAATTGTGATTATTTTTTTGTATGTGATGATAAAAGAAAAAAATATATATTTAGGCCCGGAGTCGCAGCAAGCCAACAACAGAGGCAAGTTCCACGTCACGTAGGAATCTCACGTTCAAGAAATATGAGCATAGAGACTTTAAATTCATTGATGCGTTGATCCAATTTGTACCTTAAGCAACTTGTACCATAGATGAGAGCTGTTGAGAAAACAAGAAGGTATCCAAAAGGAGGGCAAAAGAACAATTATCAGAATCTATTGAAAATGCACCAGAAAGCCAAAGTGCATCGCTAGATTGTACTGTACAACACAATAACAAATTCTTGGAGGACCTTTTGGCTCATGGTTGCTGTTGTTACTCGAAGTTGCCACTTAGTTAAGTAATCGTTATTCAATATAACATAAGAACACTTTTTCTAGGTGTCGAAAGTTTCACATTTCATGACTACATGGCATGGCTAATTTGACACTATTTGTGAAAAATAGCCCGTGGTAAGGGGTCCTTTTCTGATGTGTCATTCGATTCGGAATGGTTGTTCGCTGGCCTACCATTACATTGTTTGTTTGTTCGTTTATTGGCAATGTTTGATCATCCATTTTCCTTTGTAACCGGTCTTTCTTGGGTGTATAAATAAGGTGTGTTTGACAATCTACTCGACAAATAATATGTTTATGATGCTTTATGTGGATAGTGTATTGGTTGTTGAGTTTTTTATTGATTTGTTATTCTTTTTATCATTGGTTGTTGATATGTTCTTTTTCGTTTGTATAAAAAATCATAATCCGGTTTGTTCCGCTTTGTGGAAACAATATGTGTGCATGCTGGTGTTGTAATTCATCAACATGAGGTAGTTATCTGATATGTCTTTAGAATCTTCTTTTTTCTCCTCTTTGGAGGCAATATGCCGTACGTATTAGCTAGCTAATTGAGTTTTGTGATCGTTTTGGTTTAATGTGTTTGTTTGTTTGTTTGATCATGACAAGGGAGTGTGTTTATGGTACTCATGAGAGTGATATGAAAGTCCAATGGAGTACTGAAAGGAAGAAACGCATATTTCAATAAATTTTTCAAAGGAGCCTGATATGGAAGTTCAATGGATTGGTCAAAAAATGAAACACATAATGGATTGGTCAAATGACGAAACATATATGCCTTTGTTCTTGATATTTTTTTCAAACACATCTCGAAGTAGGCGGCACCATCGCACAAACGCTCCAGTGAGCTAGCCTCATACAAGGCGAAGGTTCAGGGGTCTATTGTTTAATGTGAAGGATGAAACACATATGTCTTCTTTCTTGATAATTTTTCCCTTTTGAATATGGTAATTGGTAAATGGGAAATAGTGGAGAGAACAAATGATTTTTTAGTGATTTTGTTTTGAGAGAACAAATGATTTTTTTTTTCTAAGAATGGAGTTGTATGGGTAGTCTTTTTATATTTAAAGTTACAGATATCCATAAAGATAATAATGAATATTTGGTAGGTGTATCTCCTAAATTTATTGTGTATATCTATAATTAAACTTATTGCAATATGTCAATTTTAATTTGATGTCATAATTATGATTACGATATGTGATTTTGTGGCTAGTAGGTTGGCGTCGTTATAATAGTAGTAATTAATTATAACCATCTATATTGTATTTGAAATGGAAGTTCAAAAGACTTCTTTTTGTGTGTCATGTATATATCGTATTTATAAGTCGTATCACTTTTATAATCTTGTAACCTAACATTAGTAGGTGTCATTGCATCTTTTATAGGGTAACCAAGCCAAGACCTTACTAAATGACATTTTTTGACTATTAATGATGCAAACTACACAAAGAAGAGCCCTATACTTAGATCAATGGGAAAAGGTATTGAAAGGGATATGGATATGATATTATTTCTAATTGAGTTGGTGTATGAGACCATTAAAGACTCAAGAGATAAGATGAAACTTTTAACAAATGTAGAAGGTTTTGACCTGTTGAACATTCGATTCAATGCTGAGCTATATCTCCTCTGATCAAGAGGAAGATATACCCGGATTACGGCTACTTTGACAATATTACTTGAGCTTATGAATAAGAAGATTGACACAAAATGGAGCTGATAAGGTTAGGCACAGAAAATTAGTTAGTAATTAGGTTGTTTTGATGATGTTTTTAATATATCTAGTACATTTTGGTATTTTGTATGTTTGAGTAATTAGTTTTTTGTATGTTATTTGTGAACAATGAAATAGAAGTGATAGTATTAGGTATATTGTTTTATTTTATAGTTATTAATTATTAATATTAATATTTGTTATAGTTATTTATTATTATATTTGTGACAGAACATGGTTGTAAGTAAAGGTAGACGATTTTTACGTACATTTTTTAGACAAATCATTGAAGGGTCACAAAAGGTCATAATTAATGAGTTTAATTTGCAAATGTAATGATAATATGAATCTAGAAATTAATATTTCCGTTTAGTGCTATCAAAAGGTCACCATTAAGAGGCAAACCAACTTTATTATTCATTATAAAGGGAAATCATTCATGGACACGAACACAATGATAATGAGCGTGAAGTTAAAGTTTCAAAGGACAAAAAATATAATCATCATAAGTTAAACAAGTTACAAGACTATTATATATAAATGTGTAGTGTTGATCTCTTTTTATATATGTGTTTATTATATTGTTTGTAGGAAATGAATATGTTTCCTTTTCGAAGAGCTAATGACGTTAGATCTAATGATCATTCTATTGATGAACATGCAAAATGTTTCACTACACGATTACACATATATGAAATACGTACGTTACGTACATTGTCTCGATGTTCTCCAACAGATGTAGAAAACACAATATAATAGATATAACATGATTATAAATTGGTTTTGGTGCATATTGTCAAGGAATACGTGCAAGTTTTGTTAGAATTTATGATCTTCAATCCCATTTGAAAAAAATCTATATATGTCTACCGAAAGGAAAAAAGTTTTATTATGAACCTACATTGTTATCAAAATAGTACAAAGAGGACCGGAGTACAAACTACTCATGTAGCTTTATAAGGAGATTGGAATTATTTTAAATAAATTACTAGGGAGGTACACGACGTTCAGAATTATTGAAGAATCATGGGTTTACTTATATTTAGAATTTTACATCCCTTAAGTAAAATGTATAGATAAATGTAGTTTGAGAAGTATTCGGTGAGAAAATGATTGTTAATCATATGAAGTTTTTGCTTCATCTTAATGTATTTATTTGCTTTCTTTCTTTCATTTTATGGTTGAGTATAGATAATATGGTATGACTAACACAAATATAATGCTTAGGTTTTATTAGATAGTGAAACTTGTTGAATTAAGATGTAATGTATTGGTTATCTTTAGTTTAAATGTTTTTAATGACAAATTGGTCAGTTCTTTGTACAAATTATCTATTAAAACGATCACTTTCTATGGAAATAGGTAGATCAAAGGACGTTGTTATGAGGAGACACAAAGCAGCTCTTGCACGTCAAGCAAGAATACGTAAGATCAGAAAGAAGCAGACTAAAACGCTTCATGGTTAGAGAAAAAAGTGATTGGATTAATTATGACTCAAAGTAGATTATACAAACTATATCCTAAATATAATGTCGGTCACGAAAACTTATAGTTGCTTTTAAATGTTAAATACTTAATTTGTGTGTGTCAGGAAACATATCAATGGATGTTGGTAAAGGAAATATGAAGCAGGCCTTGCACGTAAAGTCAGGATTGCTAAAGTCATTGAGTATCAAAATAAAATAGGTTGTAGTGGTTGATTTTAAAAGATAATATTGTTTTGTATACTCAAACTAGCGTCTAAGGTGAAGGTAACTGATTAAGGATATTTATATTTTACCATGTGAATAATATGTGAAATTTTTACACTTTGTTTTTAGTTAAAATTGTGAAAATATGACAAATTTTAGTTGTAGATTAATTGAGACTTATATGGTAATAGGTAGGCTGAATGAATACTTCACCACAAAGTCCACAACAAAGATTGCTAGAAAGGCAGCTAAAAGTAAGCGTGATACAAAAAGAAACATGTCATATATTGATTAAAGTGTATTACACAACAAACTATTTTATATGATGATTATAGTGTTGAAACAAAGTTCATTACTATTTATAATAGTAGACTATAACATACGAAAATCCAATTTTGTACACTTTTGTAGGAAAGATATCTGATTTGGATAAACTTAAGCAACATAACAACCATTGTAAACATATGAAAATACAAAATGACGAGAAAGAGTGTAAGCTATACAAAAAATCGAATAAATATTTTTTATTTAAGTTTAAAAGATTGACTGGACGTTGTATAAAAAAATTTATTTATTTTTCTTTTTCATATGGATGTATACATCTTCTTGATAATCTACATAATGTCTTTACTGATCTTGAGTACAAAACCGGTGAACATTCCAGCTCCATCAACATCTCATGTTAGTTAGGTGGTGCGGAGTAATAAGTGTGCTATAAATCAAACCAATAATAATGAACCGAAAAGACGATATTAGAGGGAACATCATAATGCATTTGGCTTGTGTTGTCTTTATGGGAAAGTGATGATACCGAAATTGGAAAATCCTCCTGAATAATTGAAGCAACTATTTCAGTCTAATGACATAAGAGGAAAACACTTTATGGAAAATATCAGGGGATACAACATGATTTTTGAATTTACATGTATGGGTGGAAAAGTAGATACTTCTAGGAACAAAGGTAAAGGGCCTTATACATATCAAATTCAAGGTCAAAATTACCATAGCGATGATAGCCTATTGCCTCACACCCATAATAAACAAAAATTTGCTCAATTATACATATATGATACAACTAATGAGATTTTAAATTGACTAAACTGCATGATCAGTTACAATTTTATGGTTTATGATTTACACAATGGGTTTGTATATAACACTATAGTAACTTATGTAGGAAACAGTGAGATGAACCATCCAATGGAAATGATGAGATTGATATAGTGTTGGTTTCAAAATTTAAGGATAATTTTTATAACAATAATGAACCGATAAAAGTTACAGGATGGTGAGAGATTGATTAGGTAATAAATTTGCAAACATTAAGCTCAGGTTGGTTGCTAAACTGAAAGATCTAGTATGCTCAATAATCATATTAAAGTGATATTGCTAATTAACATATGATACTAAAGGGTCACACTAACAACAACTTGATATAATTGATTATTTATTAGAAACTAATTTTAATAAATATTTAATAAAATCTTATAATTAAATTGGAAATTGTTTATTTCTAGGAAATAATAATTTTCATTAGCAAGTAACAATATATATAATTCATATGGTATGAATGAATAAGTCATGCACAACATTTTGGACTAGATAAATTATTTTGTCTTTTACCAAAAAGTTAAAGTTTATATTTTATAAACTTGGTTTATAAAATATAAAAGGCATTTGTCTTGTTTTACCTTCATATTTTAGAAATATGGCTAGACAAAAGAGAGTATGGGCTTTTCATTTGTTTAATGAAAAGAACACTCTTCTAAAAGGATAAACATGGACAATATGATTAAAATAAGAAGTGATGGTCTTTTGATTAATTTATTCAAAAGAAAGGCGTGGCTTGAAGTATGGGGAACACATAGGCTTTAGGGGTATGGGTTCTTAAAGTGTTAAGAACTT